CTGGTCTACGCTTTCATACTTTTTTTTTTTTTTTTAAATGTTCAAATAAAGTAACTCTAAATTAAGTAAAAAAAAAAAAAAAAGTTGCTATTAATTTTAAAACTACCACTTCATGACATCACAAGGTGGAACAGAGCATTTTGAGCTTTGGAGATGTAGACAGACTAATCATGCAAGATAACTTAAAAATGTGTGAATGAAACAAAGTAAGATTAAAAATATGTGGTTTGAAAAGTACTATGAGATTCACAATTGTATTAAAATGTTACTCTAGTAAAAGTACTCGAATAACTGAGTCTTATTCACATATACATCATAAAGTATAGAAGCAGTGTGTATCATGGGCCCAGACAGGCCTCGTATATCTCTTTCCCGGTTGAAATATCTGTAATACATACTTAGTTTTGTCAGCCCAATGCATAATTCACTTTAGCTGTCTGTCCCTCCGCTGCTCCATCACTTCCATATTCTGTTTCTTTTTAAGGAGGCTTTCTCCGGTTGGTATAGGAAAAAAAAAAAATCAAAACTTTATACTTTTCTGAAGCGCTCAAGTGTAAAAATAAACTTTTGGGAGACTCCTCAGAGACGGGGGGGATGATGTGAGTCCTGCAGACGACACAGAGGTTTGTGCAGAACCTCGTCACAGTCGGTGTATTTCTCTCTCCCTCCGTCTGCTGTGTGGAGCCAAAAGAGCCTCATCATCTTTGACACTGAAAAACTGAAATGTCAAACCAGGAAATCAGTTTCTAATGTTGAAATATTTGTATTTAATGTAAGTTCAGATTTACGGTACTAAGATTATTTTCAGGTTTAGTTCAAATCTCTATTTCACCTTCAGATTTGTTTACCGTTCACCTTCAGACCTTCATCTAGCTGCAGTTTTCCCTCTGCTGCTCCCAGGGCTGCTGTGGAGCTCTGGCCTTGGAAGTGATGAGTTTTGCAGGGTATTCGAGGCTGCTCCACAAGGAACATGAAATCTGATTAATTTTTATTCAGTTTGTGAAATTAAATAATGACTTGCTTTTCAATTTTTGATTTTCTGTTTGAAAATGAAAAATCAAATGTCCAGCAGGTACACGGGACTCCTCAGTGTATGAACAAAACCCCAACAGGGAAACTCATGTGGGTCTTCTCCTGGGTGGGTCACGGGCGCCGCTGCTCTCACGTCTATTGAGAGTCCAGAAAATGACGTAATGATACGTTTTAGATGTGTTTAAAGTATGATGTCACTCAAAATGTCATTTAAAAGACCAACAAAGTCAAAGTCAGAGTCTTGCTGTTTGTATATTGATACGGCGCTTGGCCTGGGCCCTCCTCACCTTGCGCTCTACCTGGTGTCCACTTATTTTGTGCCTTCTATTCCATGAATGCAAATCAGCAAGCGGTGAGGGTGCAACGGTACAAAAATCACGGTTCGGTACATACCTTGATTTCAGGTCATTGTTCGGTTCATTTTCGGTACAGTACGGAAACAAACCATTTGCTTGTTGTTTATTTGTTTGTTTATTAAAACAACAATTATACAAACGGGAAAATAAAATAAATGCCAAGTGCTGCTTGGTAATACTAATAAGTTAAATATAATATTCTAAATAAGCAACAAATGTATGAAATATAATAAAAAAATAAATAAATTCCTTCCTACTTTTCAAAAAGTAAAGTGCAGCACTAACAGTTCCAGCATGAATTTTTACTCAATCTTCAGATTTTTGTCCAGAAAAACTAACTCCAGCAGTTGAAAATACACTTTCACAAGAGACAGAGGTTGTGGGTACTGGGGGAGGGAAGCAGAGATTCCTTGCCGGTGAAAGGAGAAAGTGAGTGACGGCTGTTGTTTTGCGAGGATTCACATGGTTCAGAAGGATGCAGCTGAGGCGGGGGGTGGGGTGGGGGGCAACTGTTGTCAAGGTGGCCACCCTAACTATAAAGCGCTGGGGGAAACACTGCCACCCCAATCACGGATGAGTTCCCTCACGAATATTGAAGAGCCAAGCCTCTGTGTAGCTGCACATGTAGTGGCGAAATGTAAACACACACAAATTGCGTGAACTCACTCGCGCACAGCCCTGCGCCGAAGCAAACGTCCCGTAGCGAAACGGTTCAACATGAATACACGTACACCCCTAGTGAGCAGTGATCCAAACTCTTGATTTTTTTGGACCCTTTTTCCTCGCCTCGCTTAGTAGGTTTTGGTGCCCCGTCTGGTGGTTGGTGTATTGGACTCCCGCTCGCCTTAGGATTGTGTAGGATTGTGTCTTTTTTGATTTGTTGTGTATGTAACTGTAACACTCCAGACACTAGAGGTCGCTTTCAGCCTACACTTGTTGTAATTGGTATTTGTAACTGGAGTTTGATTTAGCATACTGTTGAGTTTATTGCCAATTATTTACCCATTTTGTTCTGTTGTCTCTGTTACTTCCTTTCATCCCTAGGAAAGCATTGTAACACAGAGTATAGACGAGTTTCATTGTTGACAAAAGGGCGTGTTGCATGCTGGGAATTATTTTGGTTGGCGGCAATAAACACTAATTCAACATGATGGATGGAGCGAAAAAGCACGTAAAGAGTACTGATCCCGGTTATTTATCCACTCTAACGGCAGAGGACCCAAGACCATTTGACCAGAAATTGGTCATAAGCATCGATGGAGCCAAATCACCCTTTTCAACCCCGACAAAAGGTGGACCAAACCAAATTTCTCGTCGGAATCGTCAACTACCTGGACAAATATTCACTTGGGTGATATCCACAATGACTTGGTGGAAACTCCTGGGCCATTCACAGCAGAAAAGATGAAAACCTCCAAGAGTCTCGATGTGTTGTTGAACTTGTTGGAGTCCACGGTTTGTTAGGATCTTCTACGTTTGCTCTGTGAATATTTGAAAGCCGTTTAATTCACCATTAGCGGTTCTTTTCTCTCAGAATACGAAAAAGACATTTTCCTTCTTCTGTGCTTCTATTTGTGCATCCCATAATGCAGCAGGAATTTACCATTATCAGGGATAAATACGTGAGGTTACGCACTGTGTTTGACCGTTATCCTGTTTCTTGTCTCTGACCAAAATATTTCCCAGCATGCAAAAAGTCTCTTAATCATCTTAATAGTTTAGCTTTTAACTTTTAAATACAAATATATGTTTTTCCACAGTTCAACATTAAAACTTGATTTCCCCATTTGACATTTTGGTTTTCTCAGTGTTAAACATTGTGAGGCTCTTTTGGCTCCATAGCTGTGGTTTGTAACAGTAATGCACACAGTCATATGCATTTTTAATCCCAGTGTAATGTAGTCCAATAGTTTCAGGCACAGTCTTTTCCGCGTAAGGAGCACTTTACTGTCCCCAAAGGAAATAAGATCATTTAACACATGCTTCACTACAGCAGAACTAACACTGTTATGAATAAAATCCTTCATGCATGTTTGAGTAATCCTGTATTGACCTACTTTTGTGGCGTGAGTGCTTAGAAAATGTCTGTTTTCACCTACCCCATATCTCCGCCCCCCGCTCTGTCCTTACTTGCAGTTCAAATGTTACATAACCTTTGTACATTGGTAATTAATCACGTCATTTTTCAACACTGAAAACACATATGTGAAAATAAAATGCCTGTATTTGGTTTCTATTATTAAAGGGACAATTTTACGCCATTTTCTGAGCTATGTTCTATATTGTTTCCTCATCACAAACAGACTTGGCATTCTCTCAAACTGAAAACACGCTTTTCCATCTTGTGATGTCAAGAGGTAATACAGGAAGTTCTTCATTGTGTTTTTAAACTCCACACACCGTCACTAGAATCGTTTAGACAATTTTAGCCCTGGAATTGCCAATCTCCACTGAACTAAAGGTTAAAGGTAAGTGTTGATTTAACTACCACTACCTTAGCCTGATTCATCAGCTGGTTTCATTTCGTGGAAACTGTCTGACCTCACAGCATTAGGATTTGTTCGCTCGATGGTAGGCTTTTTTTCTTTAACTAATCGCTGCTGTTTGGTTGTGACACACGTAATGCGCCAAATCCCGTAGGAAGAAGGGCAATAACATCTTTACTTTGACAAAATTCACCAAATATTCTCTTTGTTCCGGCTTTAAATCCTTGATCTTGGGAATCATTGCCAACACAGAATGTCTGTCTTCGTCTACATCCATCTTGACCCTTTGTTTACTGTTGTGCTGCGCCAAAAAAGGGACCCACACAGGCGCTTGAGTTTGACGTCATGGCTTCACAGCTCACAGCTGATTGGCCGGTGCGTGGTCTACAACTTCTTGCAAACCGTCTAGTGTATTCCGATTCCTGACCTAGTCACTGAAGAGAAATTAAATTGAGTGGAGGTACTAGGTGGTGCCAGCCTGGCTACCACTACCTGACATCAGAAGGTAGAACAGAACATTTTGAACTTTGGAGATGTAGACCAACAAATAATAAAGAGTTACTCAAACATCTATCCATTTTCTTCTGCTTATCCGGGGCCGGGTCAGGGGGGCAGCAGTCTAAGCAGGGACTCCCAGATTTCCTTCACCCAAACACTTCCTCCAGCTACTCCATGAGGAACTCAAGGTGTTCCCAGGCCAACCCAGAGACATAGTCCCTCTAGCGTGTCATGGGTGTTCTTTGGCGCCTCCTTACTGTGGGACATGCCCAGAACACCTCCAGATGCCCGAGCCACCTCAGCTGGCTCCTCTCGACGTGGAGGAGCAGCATCTCTACTCTGAAGTCCTCCCATACGGCCAAGCTCCTCAGCCTATCTCTAAGGGAGCACCTAGTCACCCTGCAGAGGAAACTCATTTTGGTCGCTTGTATCTGTGACCTTTACTGGTCAATCTACAGTGTTCCTACCCTCATCTGTGACCATGAGCTTACTCAAACATGTGTGAATGAAATAAAACACAACTCCAAGTATGTTTTTGATGAAGTAATTATAACGTATCATAAATCTCACATGGCCAGTCCACAAAAGTACAACGAAAAGTAGAATTCACAACTGAAACATCTCTTACTTTTTGGGTGGCACCTGTCCCACGTTGACCCGGACGCAGATGACCTTCCTGGTCTGGACCCCCATGGCACAGGGCCCTTGGGTGCCGGTGCCGGACCCTTGGGTGCTGCTGGTGTTGGTGGAGGAGGAAGAGGAGGTGGGGTCTTCGGTACAGGCCCCCCACGCTCCGGTCTGCCAGTGGTACACGGTGCAGGCGTGTTCATTACAGTTCCTCACCTCCTGTAGGGCGCTGCTGTTGGGGCACAGAGCTCCACCTGCCAATCAAACACAAATACATCAAATACTGACACTTTACAGCTGATGGCATCAACTTTCACTGGGGGTGGGATGCTAACTGTAGGCACTGCTCTGTCAGAAGCTCTGTTTGACTTTAATGCTTTAATTTAAACACAATCTGATCAGAAAGAGATGACTTAACTGGAACTGCAACTCTTGATGTTAATTTCACTAATATGTAAACTGTTGGAGTACGCTGACAATATCACTGTTTAGTGCTGCAACTTGTTAACCATAACATGGTTAACATGTTAACCATAGATCCATTTGTTAACTACACAAACAGTGGTGTTTTTCACATATCCTCTGTGCTGCCAAACCATAGACAGTATGTATGAATGGACAATGTGCCAAACAAAGAATCCATCCATATATTAGCCGCATCACTGTATAAGATGCAAACTGTGAGAACTGAGAGAAAAAAGTAGAGGCTTATAGTCCATAAATTATGGCATTGAAAAAAATCCTGTTGCCTTGGTTTATTAAGAATTAAAAACTTTTCTCTGCAGCCCAAAAGCTCTCTGGATAAGGTCATATAAAGTCATGTGTCCTCTTCTATCTCCACACACTGCTCTCTACTTACTTACACTTCAAATGTTGCATGACCTTTGTACATAGGTAATTTATCAACAATAAAAACACATATGAGCAAAGAAGATTAGGGTTGTCCCAATCTGATCACATGATCGGAAATCGGAGTCGATCAGGTGAAAGCGGACTCAATCCGGACTCAATCCGGACTCGAACGTTTTGTTCACACACACAGTGCACACAGGACACAACAGTTTTGTTTTTTGGGTTTTTTTTGAGCCGCGAGATTTTTCTGAGGAACGTCCAATCAGTGCGACTGTCTGTCCCAGCGCCTGCTGTACTAGAGGCACACTTGCGCTGGGGCTTTTGGGCCGTGTCGTGCTCGGGTGCTGTTACCTGAGGTTCTGTGGCCCCTGTTCACATCTGCGCGGCTGATGGTGTCATTGCACTGTGCTGTTTGTTTGCATGTTGCACAGCAGAGCTGGCGGTCTTGGTGGAGAGGGTGGGAACAGTGGCGTGGAGTGTCTACTGAGCAGTGGGACTGATGTTGCGGTGGGTTTGTTGATGTGGTGGGGGAGTGGGGGCTGTAGGGCTTCTATTTGAGGCTTTTATTTGGTAAGATTTTATATTATTTGGATTTCACAGATGAGTTTAAATATTTCAAATGTAATGCACATGCAAACATATAATATCAAATATACAAAGTGTAGATTGTGCAGAGTCGAGTCTCAGGTCTGATCTGATTCTGGTCTGGTTCCTGTTTTGTTCAGTTCATTAAGTTTACTAAGTTACACATTCCAAGACCAGACTATGAAGTCTAGATTTTCAACAATGTTGGTACATGGTTAGGAAAGTTAATAAAATTTAAGTTTTGGACATTTGATTCACCCTAAGTTCAGCCCAAATACTACACATGAAATCAACACAATCTGATCCCCCCAACACATCCTGGATCTTATTCTTTGATATGTTTTATAGAAGTATTGGAGCGGGACTCGGTATCGGCAAATACTCAAAATCAAATGACTCAGACTCGGGGGGCAAAAAAATGTGATCGGGACATCCCTAAATAAGATGTCATATAGAGTCATAGTTCTCTGCATTTGACCCATCCTTCACTGACGGGGTCACCTGACAGAAGCAGCCGACAGCACTGCTCCATCTGGTGACCCATCTGCAGATCCTGAGCCGGGTTCAACACCAGAAATACTCAGAACCTCTTGAGATACAGTACTGGACCACCTCCTCCACAGCTCACCTGAAAAGACCCCGTGTGTGTGTGTGTGTGTGTGTGTGTGTGTGTGTGTGTCTGCGGAGGATGCCAGGCTAACTGCGGGCAGGGTTCCAAACATTACACAGTTCTGGGCGATGGAGGCCACAGCGCTGAAGCATGGCACAGGTCCACATGTTGTACCAGCCAAGTCCAGGTTATGACAATTATTCACAGGAAAGTTAGAAATGGTTTATTTTCTTTAAAGGTGCTGTGTGGGATCTTTCTGCTGCTGGGTCTTCCACCTGCTTATCTCCGTGAAGATTCTAGTATTGTTTTGTCTTGACTATTCCACAGTATGGCTTTAAGGGGCCTATGTTACGCTATTTTCTAATCTCACAATCCTCATCACAAACATCTGAAGTTGTGTACTGTGTTTTTAAACTCCACAGACTTTCTCTAGTGCATTTGTATCATTTCAGCCATGGGATTGTGGATCTCTATTAAATTAAAGGGTCCATCTCATATAAAATAACAAACAATAGAACATCCATTACACAATAGTTCTGAAATCTTACTGATTTCTTGGAGACAGTCACAGACCAGGAACTATGAAAGGCCGACTATTGCTCCTCCCCCCGCCCGTCCTGAGAAAGCACAGGCTCCGCCCTCCAAACATGACCTAGGCGATGAGTGAGCCGCCCTTCCTCCGCCATCTCAGGGAGGGAGGGGGAGACAGACGTGCACCCTGATAGTGGTAGGAATAAACTTTTATTCATCATGGAGATACAGCGCGTTCAGCCGCATGTGTTGCACCCGGAATCGGACGAGGACTTTGAGGAGCACGAAGCTCAAGCACCACGTCCACATCAACTGAACATCTGAAAAGTTGATTTTGCATGAGATGGGCCCTTTAAAGGTGAAATGTTTTGTTCGAATTGCAACTCATTCCATGCCACTAACATCGTCTGCTCATTTATTCATCAAACTTAACATTCTTAATATTTATGAGATTAATATTTATCAAATTAGTATTTTTATGTATAAAATTCTTTATAATCCAACGACAATCCCCAAACATTTCACATTTTACTTTAAAACCAATGCAGAGATTCATACAAAACTCGCCAAATCATAGTTTTCATGTTCCAAAATGTGTCACATCAAGAGCTCAGTTTTACTACGATACAGAGGCTGTAAACTCTTCACTTCACTTCACATCTGGTTAGTGATGCACATAGAGGCATCATTAAAAAAGAGTTTGAGGAAATGTTTGATATTTCATGTTGATGTTTGATAATCCTTTCAATTGTGGATGTTTCATTGTGTTTTAATCCATATTTGAATCAAATGAATTTGATCCATGGTGTTTACATGCATTATTATTATTATTATTGTTATTATTATTATTATTATTATTTTATTATTATTTTTTTTAATGCACAGTGATTATGTTAAGTTTTTTATGTATTCATAAGGTGGAGGCTTTAAAATTAGGCCCTTTTGGGTTTTAATTATTATGTTATATGTGCAAAATAAATAAATAAATGAATAAATAAATAAATAACAGCTACCTTTCACCTTTGTTTAACTGATACTAAATTACATCACAGCGTGGAACGGAGCATTTTGAGCTTTGGAGATGTAGATAGACAGCCTCACTCAAACATATGTGAATGAAACAAAACACAACTCCAGGTACAGTATTTCAGCTTATACATCTCCATGGAGACAAGCAGGGGACACCACCAGACCAAGTTAGAGATCAGATCTGTGGAACGGCGATGCTGCTCACAATAAGAATACATGCATATTAAGTTTTTTTGGAGCTCTGAAGGAGGAGTGACTTAGCGCAGGGGAGCAAGGCGAGGTACAATATGTTCTTTACGGCGACTATAGCATTTACAAAACATTAAAAGGCAACATGGTGATTTAAATACCTTATCTGTTAGTGGTTAATACTCTCTTAGACGTAATCTTTAAAGGTGCATTGTGTAACTTTTCTGGTGCAGGGTCCGTCACCTGCTTGTCTCCATGGAACTGTTGGCTGACAGGGCATTTGCAGCTTTCATAAAGGGTAGATTTTGCAGAGATTCTTCTGTATTTTTACAATATGAAATTTTTATATTGTCGAAACGCCTAAAGCTCAGCTGCTGACGAGGACCAGGAAGAGAGAGGATATATAACACCAGCGCTGAAGTGTCTGCGCTGGCTTCTGTGAGCTTCAGGAGAGGTTTTACAGTTCTTTTATTGGTTTATAAAGCTCTTAACGGTCTTAGTCCTGTTTATATATCTGATCTGCTTTTATCATTATGATCCTCTCGGACTCTCAGGTCCTCAGGTGGATATTTTTTAACTGTCCCAAGAGTCCAAACTAAAACTCACAGCGAGGGGACGTTCAGTTTTTATTACCCCCGTCAACCTGAGGATCTGAAGTCTGCTGCGAGTGTTCATATTTGTACAAGTAAACTCAAAACATATCTTTTTAAATTTAGCTTTTAATTGAAACTTGTACATGTTTTAAATAAAATCATTATTATTTTACTTTGTCTCCACTTTTTATTTTTACTATAACCTTTAGGAGCTTGCGCCAATGAGCACCGGCCATCGAAAACAATATTACGCCATCTTCGATTCATCTTCCACATTTTATTATACTAACTAATTAACTAATTATAACTTTATTATGTTTAGGGTTTTTTCTGGGTATTTTTGAGCTATAAAACCACCTGTAATTGAATATGTGTAAAGTAGAGCTGTTTAATATCCAGGGTTCCCACTCTTTTTCACTGACAAAATTTCAAAACTTTTCCATAAAGTGAATTTTCCATGACTTTACGGCTCCTACATGTGTAGAATTGATCAGACTTTTAGGGCTAAATATGAAATGTTAACCCTTTCCACTCACCTTATGGTTTGGGATTATAGTTTTTAACATTCAAAATCCTGTCAGTGCAATTATTGTCGTCTCTTTTAAACAAAAGACACAGATGTTGAGAAATAATCATAATAGCCTCATGAGAACTTAACAAAACGCTGTAGTTGTGTGTAAGAGATACTTAAGGTCTGTTTACACGAGAACACTTGTGGGTAAAAACCACAAAACATTTTATAGGAAGTGCCTTTCGTTTAGACTTTGATGGTGTTTTTGGGGCTTAAAAATGCAAAAATCTGAAACCACCTTCCAGAGTGGAAAAGTTGAATAAGCTCCACTTTAGCGTTTCCGTCTACACTGTC